TCCAGTTTATTAGATATTTTGGTCCCTTTTTTGAAAATTTGGAAGGCCATCTGTCAGGAGTGCTTTGCCTGTTTATTTCTGCATGGAAGGGGGCTGGACTGGATGGCCCTTGTGGTCTCTTCTGATTCTATGATTCAAGAATTAATTATTTCCAAAAAAGGCTAGAATCAAAACATTTAAATGGAAGTGCATTCTTTAATTGTGTGATTTTAAAAGCATAGCCAGTTATTTTTACTTTTTTCCCCTTCCTCTTTTACAGTACAGTTCATTTTAAATCTATTCTTTTTCCACATCTCCTTCACTAGGTCATGCTACCCCACTCTACCACTCCTCATTCTGTCTCATTTGAACGACCAGTTTCAAATATATGTAAGATATATCTTAGCACCTTAAATTTTAAAATCTGTTCAAAATTCACAGTAGCCAGCAGATGGTGCTCAGCACAATGTGGAGACCATCTTAATTCCTCAATATGAAGTGAGCTGAACAAAGCTCAGTTGTTTTAAAAAAAACAACACAACCTGGTAGCTTTCCGTGTATAATCTGATTAAGCAGGGAAGCTTATACTTCTTCATCTGATGCAGCTCATACTGATAAGAGCATTGATCCCCCATAGTTTCTACTGAAAGTTTGACAGATTTAAGCCTATTTAGAGATGGGGTAAAGGGAAAGAGCTTGTCTCCCAAGGCAGTCACTGCCTTGAAAAGAAACATAATAATTGTATAATACTCTTGTGTAGAGTTGCCATCTAAGCAGGTATAAAGTTACAGGTTTAGGTCTTGACAGTTTTAATGAACACTGCGGGAATCAACATATGAATTATGAATGCAACTTAATATTTGCAAACTATATTTCTTCTTCATGGTTTCTGTGACTCACACAAATGGGTTATCCTGCACCTGTGCAGTGCCATTTTCTAACTATACATTCTTTGCAAGACCTTTTGTGTACTGTTATTGAGCCAGACCAATGTTTTAATAAAGAAGACAAGAATTTACTGACAAGAATTCTCTATTTTCTTTTTGAAGTTGTTGAGCTACAGGGCAGGGCACTGTCAAATCTAAGACACAGGAACTTCCACATGAATTGTGTGTTTGAAGATTTTTGCCAATCTGTATATTTTATAAGAATAATTGTCATGAATAGAAAATCATACTTTTATGTTATAAATGTTTGGGCCTAAATCTAATGGCTTTATGCCCAACAAGAGATTAGCCATTGAATCAACGAGAACTTGGTAAATTAACACTTCTGTTAGTTTTATTGAATCTTTGGGTCTACTTTAGTTGGACATCCTAATGGCGCCAGATCTTGTCTGATCTTGGAAACTAAGCAGGGTCAACCCTGGTTAGTATACGGATGGGAGACTGCCAATGAATAGCAGGTGCTGTAGGCCAGGGGTAGGCAACCTTTTTGAGCGGGGGCCAGGTTGCTGTCCCTCAGACAATTGGGAGGCTGAAGAACCAAAAATAAATTGATAAAAAAAGTTATTTAATTTTTTTTTAAAAAAAATATGCATGCATACTCTCTCGGCCCCAGAAAAGCCATGGCAAGACCCCTGTGGAGATTTTGCCAAGAAACCCCCAAGAACAAGTAATAACAACAATAATCAATATCATCATGGCAGGTGGCGGCGGCAGCAGCGGCAGGACCAGCCTGGGGCTGGTCCAAAGGCCTCGGGGGGCCGCACCCGGGCCTTAGGTTGCCTATCCCTGCTGTAGGCTATATTTCAGAGAAAGGCCATGGCAAACCCACCTCTGAGTAATTCTTGCCTAAGAAAACCCTGTGAAATTCATGAGGTCACTATAAGTTAACAGGAGACTTGAAGACACACACACACATGCATGGGTACCAGCAGAACCTCAGGGTACTCTTTTCCTAGGTGACAGTGAAATGAGAGTGTTTTTCTATCTGCTGCAGTTTTACCTTAAAAAAAAAGGTTTAAAAAAGGAACAAAAATCTGATTAATGTGGGCACATTTTTATGTCTCAATTGACTAAGGGCCTCGGCAGACGACTAATAGAGTCGTCTTCGAGGCCCTGAAGAGGAGGGGCAGCCGCACAAGCGGCGCCCCTTCCTCTTCCTGATGTCGCCCTCGGAGTCGCCGGCCCTCCGCACGGCCGGCGCTCTGGGGATGACCTCATGCCGCAGCGACCACATGCGCTGCAGTGGAAGAGTCAGGGAAAGTGCGCCTGCCGCTTTTAGGGCGCACTTTCCCTGACATCTAAAAGGAGCGCCAATTTGGAGCTCCTTTTAGAGTCGCTGGAGGAGCGCAGCGGTGCGGATGCTGAGCTCCGCCGGTGCTCCGTCTGGCGGCGTCTCCGGGGCCTCCGTCTGCTGAGGCCCTAACTGTTACAATTCTTAATACTGTTTTAAATCAAAAGATAAAGGAGGAAAACCAGGAAATGTCTCATACATTTTTCCATAGAAGCTCATAACAAATGGTTTTGACTGCTAGTCCAAACTAGAGTAAAATCATTGAATCCATTGTTTATTGTTAAGTAAATTCTTATGTAAATCCCACTGGTTCAATGGATCTACTCTATTGGGGGCTAGCAGTTGAATGTAGGCTTTTATCTTATAAAGTGTTGCAGGAATGGTGTGCATTTTTTTCTAACTATCTGGCTGTAACTTCCTTCTCTCCTCTGTTTTTGCTGATAGTATGCTTCATTTAGCTTTGAGACCCTCTATATTAATCACGTAAACATTAATTACAGAAAAATATACAAATTGCATGCTTTTTTTCTTAGTCGAGGAACATCTTAAAGCATAGATGTCAAATCCAATCAGTATCTTTTCTAGTGAGAGGTGGACTCTTGAGGATCAAGAGACCTGGGAACTGCTGGAGGGGAACAGGTGCCATTTTAGATGGTGTGAAGTTGGCTTGTGAAGGAGATCAGAGACATTTTTCATGTTAAATTTAGATTTTTTTAAAAAAAACTTACTGTGAATGCAGGAGAAATAAGCATGGTTGAAAAGAGATTCTAACACCTAGATTAAATCATATAGCAATCCAGATCTTGTTGGACTCCAAGTCCTAGCAGCCCAGCCAATGAATGGCGAGTAATTCTGGGAGTTGCAGTCCAACAATATCTCAAGGGTTCACATGATTCACATCTCTGCTCTAAGCTCTAACTTTAAAAGGGAAGATGGATTACTGTCCAATAGGGTTTTTAGGCTTGCTTTGTTAGATCTCCAGAAGTATTCCTATTATTATGAAGAGAGACATTGATAAATCCACTTACTCAGGGCAGGCAGAGAGAAATTGGCATCAGGGCATGCATCCTTTAAGGTTAAATCCCTATGTTTCCACACCCAGCATGTCATAAACTTCTACAATGCTTTTGAGGGAAGAAGGCAGCACAGACTGCAGGGGATAAGATTCTTGAAATTATGGACTGAATGAAGATCATGATATTCATCATGTGAGTTCATAACTGGGCGTGAAGGGATGGAAAACAATCATACACATTTCTGCTTTCCCTTGAGAAAAAGACTTGAATCAGATTATCTATGTTCTATTCCACAGACAATCCAGATCTTTCAAACTGTATTATGGGATGCATCTTTGCAGCCATAGTATAAGGCGACTTTTTAACCCCAGAAAAGCTTTCCAAAAGTTGGGAGGTCGTCTTATACGCCGGTAGGAGAAAAAACCCTTTTTAATGTTCCTTATCTTAAATCTCCTCACCTGGCA